ATAGAGTTGATGAACACAACATTCATGGATTTTTTAGACGAGTTTGTTATCATCTTCATGTTGGGTTTTCCTGGGATCTCATGAGCGAATCCTATTCCTAAGAGATCGACTCTAGGGTTTTCGCAGCGGATGTAAACAAAAATTTTGATAAAACCCTAAAACCTATCATGCATGATCTTGTAGAAACGTTAGAACGCTTACCTCAATCGATCTGGGGCCTGTTTCAATTGATGTGTTCGTCCGATCACTATAGGCAGGAAGAATACCTCGCCCTCTACACGTATCCACACCTCGGGATGGATTCCAACCTTTGGAACTTGTCTGCTAGGACACGAATCTTCTATTCGATGATGTGCTTTGAGAAAGAGAGATTAAGATCACTTCTTCAACCCTCTAGACTCTCCAAAAGGGTCTGAAAAGTTCTCTAAGTCGGCTCTCTAGTGTTAGGGTTCTATTTATCCTCTTCTCCAATTGATTAACCCTGGATCCGGACTTTTAAAATTAAATCTGAACCCCAGACCGAACGGACTGCTTAGTAGTCCGTTCGATCTGGACACTTGGTCCGTTCGGACCAGTTTCATAACTGGGTTCGTTCGAACTGATGGGTCAGTCCGTTCGGTCCAACACTTGGTTCGTTTGGACTGAACTCTCTATTCCGTTCGGTCCAACTATTTGGTCCGTTCGGACTAGATGCTCCGGACCTCTTGTCCAGATTTCTCGACGTTTTCTCGTGCATTTGTCCTTCCCTGCGTGTGTGACCCTGTAGGCTCATTCGATATAGCAGTATAACCCGAAAACTCTATTCCGGATATACAAGTCATAGGCGGTCTCTAGCAAGACACTATGACTACTTATCTCGAATAGAGTTTGTTCGTGATCTTACGAACGCCAGAGATGATTCCGGTTGATGATCCTTTTGTATCACGATATCATATATCGAATATAAGGCATGGACAAGCCACCTTATCTGATTCGACTGCTTTCTCGTTCACTGAGTTCAACTGTCTGAAATAGACGATGTTCGTCTATAGTGAGGCCACACATTTCTACAGTCTCGCTCACACGAGGGA